AGATGATGAATTTACGTGTTTCATAAATTTTATTTCAGAGAATATCACGCCAATCTTAATTCCATGGTTTCTGTAACCTACTCATAGGGATTAAGTAAAAGAAGATATGATTTTAATATAAGCTTTTATTTTATTAAGTCTATGAATATCTAGAACTACAGAGATGTAATAGTTAGGCAGTAATATTGGAAATATTGGTAAAAGTAATTGAAAAGTAATATTGGTAGCAAAACCAATAAAACCCCAAAGATATGGATGTGAATTGTCAGTTTGAATTATAATAAATTTAGAATATATATGTGATTTATAAAGGTTTATATGATATTTAAAGGTATTTGACCACATTTAAGAATGTATATAATAACTTCATTAACAAAGTTATATGCATAATCTAAAGTGGTACTTCCTCTTTCTCCCAGTATAAATACATGGGACAAAATTAAAATGGTACCAGAAAAGTGAAAGGAAAAAGTGAGTTTCCCTGCCTTCTCTCATCATTAAATACTAAATTCATCTCCTCTGAAGCAAACTGTAGATCTGAAAGCATCTTACATTTTTTCCTAATAGTTAAATTTTTATTTAATAGCTGTATATTATACAAGGAAAAGTGGTGACTTCATTTTTAGCAGCAGTTTGTATTTCATTTACTTGAATGCCTCAGTAAAAGAAAAAAAAGAAGTGTAATTCTTTGTCAATAAAATACATTTTCCAAATGTGTCAAATAACTTGAAAATTTTCTAAATATGAAAGTAACACATATTCAACAGAGGATTTATAAACAAAAATAATTAAAATAAACACATTTTACATTTGAATTAAGTATTTTAAATCTTTAAAATAAACTTTAGAATTATATGTTTAAAAATCTTAAAAAATTCAAAGGTATAACAGGTGTAAATAATCCTCTTTCCACACTTGTCTTCTAGCATTTCAATTTCATTTCCAAAATCAGCCAAGACTATCAGCCTTTTGTGTATTCTTCCAAACATAGTTGGCACGCATAGTCAGCGTGCACAGTCTGCGTGCACACAGGCACGGGCATCTTCTCTGTGTGTGCGTCTGTGTGCGCAGTGTCCTACCCTTTGTTTGACTTAGCAGTTTTAACAATATATCTCAAAGGTAGTTCCAGATTAGCAAACATAGCAAATATTTTTATTATAACAATTATAGCAAAATAGCACTCATTGTTTCTCTACGAAGAAAAGTAATGAATGCTTACAATTGCTAGATTATGTAAGGTGTTTTCATGGTGTAAGACAACCTCTTCTGAAAGGTGTGGAATTCTGTGGGGTGATACATCTGTAGTGATAGTCTCCAGCAGAGGCTCTCAGGGTCAGCACACCTAACAGCTTGTAAAAAGATAAATGGCTTATTTATTTGCGTTACTATCTTTTGCCCTAATAAATCGGCTGCAAGATTGAGCAAGTATATCTGTACAATAAATTTCTAGAAGTAGAATTGCTGGATCAAAACATACATGCATTTGTAATTCTGTCAAATATTGCCAAACTATCTGAAGGACATTTTTAAAGGTTGTTCTTCAAGTAGTTCAAAGAAACTCAGACATGGTTTACTTTTTAATTTTTATTATGAATCTTGGTTCCATAAATAATAGAGTAGGAAAGAGGAACCTAGGGGCTTTAAGGGTTTTGAGAGAAAGAATGTCATGATCATAACATTCTAGCCAGTGGGCTGAGGGCAGACTGTACTGAACATGGTAAAAAAGAGGCAAACCAGTTACAAGGTTATAACAAAAACTGAGGCAAGCTGAATGCAGCAATAGGTAGAAACAATTACACACCATGACCCAATGGGTTTATTGCAGGAATGCAAGGTTGGTTTGACATCTGAAGATCAATTAATGTAATACCAAAGTAAAGGAATAAAAAAAACTAAACCATAAGATCATTTTGATAGATGGGAAAAAAAGCACAGCATTTGACAAAACACAACACCCATTTGTGGAAAAAAAAAGCTTAACAAACAAAAAGAGAAGGTAAATTCTTCAGCCTGATGAAGGGCATCTGAGAAACAGCCACAGCCACAATCCACTTTATGGTGAAAGACTGAATACTTTTTCAGTGAGAACAGGAACACTTTAAGGATGTGTGTTTTTAGCACTTATATTCTACATTGTATCAGAGGTGCTAGCCAGGGTAATTTGGCAAGGAAATGAAATAAAAGCAGCCACATTGTAAAGAAAGAAGTAAAACTGTTTCTCTTTGCAGATGACATAATCTTCCACATAGGAAAGTTTAAGGCAGCTACAAGTAAAAAACCTATTAGAACTAATAAATGAGTCAGTGAGAATACAGGATACAATGCCAATATACAGAAATCAATTATACTTCCTTAACTTTCAGTGACTCCAAAAACAAAATTGAGAAAAATATTTATAATAGTGTCACAAATAAAAATACTCAGAAATAAATTAAGAGTGTAAGGCTTATACACTGAAAATTAGAAACTATTGTTGAAATGAAATAAGAAGTAAATAAATGGAAGTTCCTCCTATTTCATGTTTTAGAAGATTTAATATTGTTAAGATGACAATACTCCTGAAATTGATCTAAAGATTCAACACAATCCCTATCAAAATCCTAGCTTCCTTTCTGGCAGCAATTGATAAGTTCATCCTAAAATTCATATGGACATGCAGGTACCCTTCATAGCCAAAACAATTTTGAAAAAGAAAAAGGTGGAGGACTCACACTTCTCAATTTTAAAACTTACTACAAAGCTGCAGTAATTAAGACAGAGTTGTGGTACTGGCATAAGAATATACAGAGATCAATGGCATAAAGTTGAGAATCCAGAAATAAACCCAGGTGTCTTATGATCCACTGACTGAAGTAAGTATACCAATACCATTTAATGAAGAAAGGAGAGTCTTTACAACAAACAGTGTTGGGTGATTGCATATCCACATCCAAAACCATGAACCCTACTTCATACCATACACAAAAATTAACTCAAAATGGATCAAAGACCTAAATGTAAGAGCTAAACATACAAAAATATCTTAGAAAAAAACCACAGGGGTAAACCTTTACAGACTTGAATTAGGTAATGTTTCTTAAATATGACACTAACAGCATAAGCACTAAAAGGAAAAAAATAGATAAATGGATTTCATCAAAATTAACTTTATGTTTCAAAGGAAACTGTCAAGAAAGGGAAATTCACCCCTCAGAATAGGATAATATTTTAGCAAATTACATATCAGATAAGGGACTTATAACTAGAATATATAAAGGGCTCCTCAAACAGTAATAAAGAGAAATAATCCAATTTTAAAATATCTAGTCTGAATAAACATTTCTCCAAAGAAAATATGCAAAGAGCCAATAATTTCATGAAGAGAACTCAACATTCATCAGAAAAATGCAAATCAAAAGTGAGATACCCATTAAGATGACTATTATTTTAAAAAAAACAAAACAAAATAACGATTATTGGCAAGAATGTGCAGAAATTGGAACCCTTGTACACTAGTGAGAATGAAAATGTGCAGCTGCTTTGGAAAACAGCCTAGTAGTTCCTCAAAAGATTATAAATAAAGAATAAATACACGACTCAGCACTTCTACCCAAGAGAAGTAAAAACATATGCTCACACGAAAACTTACACATGAATGTTCATAGGAGCATCAGTTATAACAGCAAGATGTCAAGGACTCAAGTGTCCGTTAACTAACGAGTAGACAACCACACGGGGCATAGCCATTGTTAAAAACAAGCAACAGGCCCCAAGTGGACTTGCTTTTGCTAATCCCCACGTCACCAGACCAATTTAACTTCATTACAGTTTTAGCTCTTTTGGAAACGGAATCAGTAGTCACCCGATCAGCATCGTTCAGGTGCGAGTCTGCGTAACAAAGCCCGCAGCGGGACGTGGTAACCTGGCCACGCCCACCCCGCTCTTCCGCCGGTGCAGCTCCCTCGTTCTGCGCGCCTCCTGCCTGCACGTCTTTCATTCCCTGCAGCTCCTTGGAGTTCCTGTCTGTCTGCTAGATGGCACTTCCCGACTCGAATTAATTTTTGCTAGAATAAACTCAGCGTGTCTAATATGCTCCAGTTTATCTTTGAACATGATACGATGGAGTATTATTTGACCTTAAAAAGGAATGAAGTGCTGAAAGCTGCTACGACACGGATGAACCTTAAAAGAAGCCAGTCCCCAAAAAACAACATATTGCATGATTGTATTTATATGAAATGTCTAGAACGGGCAATTCCGTAGAGACCGAAAGCAGGCGAGCGGTTATTCGGCGCTCGGGGGAGTGCGGGATGGGCGGGTGCGACAGCTAAGAGCACAAGGTTTCTTCGGGAAGCGATGAAATGTTCTAACGATGGTTGTGGTGAATTTCGCGCAACTTTGTGACTTATACTGCAAACAAAAACCATTGCATGCATTCCTAAAGGGGTGAATTGTTTAGTATGTGGGTTAACTCTTAACAAACTTGTGTACAAGAAGAAAGAAAAATAAACCCTGTACCAGACAACCCAGATTTAACTCCCATCTCTGCCCCGGAATGGCGATGTGACTTTAGAAATATTACTTAACTTGTGCGTGCCTTAAAGTCTGCATAAATAAACAGAGATAATAATATTTCCTCTCTCATAGGGTTGTTGTAAGGATTAAGAATCAACACATGAAAGGACTTAGAACAGTGTATGGTAAAGAAAAACTGCTGTCACTTATACTCAAAGTGTAAATTTCAAAGTCAGTAGTTTTTCCTCATGACCTTGCTCTGTTTCTTTTCACGACTTAATTTGAAAGAGAAGGAGGTACGGTCAGTTTATTGGGTTCTTCTTTTTTTTTTCTATTATTTTACAGAACGGCTGGAGAGTGTAAATTTAAGTCCGAAAACTCAAGTGCCTTCATTTTGGACTTAATGCCTTTTATAAGCGAACGTCTTTCGCTCAGTTTGACCCTCTAGGCTTTCCATTCTTATCTTTTCAGCGCGCATGCGCAACAGCCGCGTGCCCTTGCGTCCTAGCGCTCCAATTACTTTGACAATGGCGGCTCGCTGTGTGAGTCTGTGGACCCGTTTACCCATTTGTGCTCAGCGAAGCCAAATACTGCGTCCAATCCACAGGCTTCTCAGTAGCCCAGGAACTGTGGCCGCAGACACCAGGAGAGAAGAGCAGTCTTTGGGGATCGCGGAGACAGGTGATGGCGTCGTGTCTTCGGTTTGCTCTAAAGCCCGGACCGACAGTGGGCGAGGGAAGGGGAAAGAGACTGGGGATCGCGGGCGAACGCGTGGCCCGTGGCAACGGCCGTGGAACCTTTGGCAATAGGGTGAGGCTATGTCTCGTGCTCCTCTGAAGTCACTACGGGAATCTAGGGCCGCTCCTGTGTTCCGTAATGAAGTTGTTTAAATTTCTGACGTTCAGGTCAAGAACACAATTTGCTAGCGTCTTACACTCAGGTGAAATAATGCTCCCAATGATAACGTGGATGCCACATACCAAATCAGTTACCTCATCATTCACAAATGTGCCTGATTTTGATACAAGTTGCTGATTTCACCAAGTGAAATTTTGATGAATAACCGGTATTCTTGGCTCACAAATGTAGGTCTCTGCCTATGAAATTTGCTGTCGTTGAGTTTATCCTTTTATCCGTTTTGAGCAAAATAAACCCCTGGTAACAGGCGTTCACTGGAACAGGCTATTAACCCTCAGGCATTCTCAATTTGTATGCTTGTGTATTGAGAAGCCCCCTATTATCGAACACCTCTTGTGATCCAAGAGCTGTGTATGTTATTAAAACAATCTAGCAAGAAATGTGTCATTGTCTCCATTTTGTAGGTGTAGAAAGAGGTTCAAAGAACTGAGTGACTTGTGCGCCGTGGTCACATAGCTGAGTTAATTTAGACCTCAAGTGGAGCTGTTAAACAAAATGTGTGTTAATTTCTACTATTGCTTGGAGCTGTAGTTTTTAGATATGAAATTATATCTGGGAACAGTTCTAAAGTAGGCTAAACAAGCAAAACATTTTGTGATGAAATAAATGATAGGCTTGCTCTTGTCATCACACTTCAGGGAAAGACTCATTGACAGTCGGAAAGTCACTTAATACGACATTTCAGTGGAATACTGATTGGGTTGTATTTAGTTCTAAGCTGCTTCTGTTAAAAATTCTTATGAAACTCTGAAAATTAGACTAAGGATTCTGCCAAAGAAACTATTTTTTTTTGTTTAAACAATTAGGCTTTAACAAAGAAACTATTATGATTTAGCATATGTATGGTATGGTGGTTTATATTTCAGAATATTTTCATATGCTTTTTTAAGAATAGAACTCTGTAAAGTAGGTATAGAGGGAATTATTATTGCTCCTTTTGATAGATGAGGAAAAGGCTAGACTGTGTGGCTAAATCAGACTTATCCAGCTGTTAAGTAGGCAAGATAAGGGTAAAACCTGATTCCAAGTCTGTACTCACTTATTACAGCTTTGTTGTTTTTCTTAGGAAATGTGTCATATTTCGTATCATTAGGATAATAAACTGACTATTCAGGGACTCTTGTGGGGCATAACAAGTAATAAAATTCTCATTTGAATTTCTTCAGTTTAAAAAAGAAAAGGTAACTGCACTTTATACTCACTTAGAAGCATGTAATTTTATGATAGAAAGGAATTTGGGAAATACCCAATTCAGTTTTTCACTCTGCGAGAACTCATTGCCAAAACATCCCTAGTAACGAGGAGGTTACCATTTCATAAACCAGGCAATTCATTTTTGGTGAGCATTAATAGTTGAAAATGTTTATAATGAACTAAAATCTCCTAATTTCCCATTTCCATGTTAATCTTAGTTTTGGCACAGCTTTCATGTGAGTAGTGGGAAGAACCCTGATTTAAGAATAAGAATTATGTAGTGTATTATTCAGGACTCTTGGGTGCAGGTGACAGAAACTAACTCAAATTAGCTTCAGGAGATAAGGGAAGAATACCAACCCAGGAAACCAAACTCCAGAAAGACACATAGCTGCTTTAGGATTGTGTGGTCAGTGGGAAGTATTACTCTTTTCCTCAGCTGTTGTTTGGTGGCTTCATTGTCTCAGATTCTTCTGTTTGGGGATGTTGATGGGGGAAGCATGGCCACCAGAAACTCCATGTTCATGTGCTCATAGCTTTCTTCAAAGGGAAAAAAACAAAATAATCTTTTACCTGAATTTGAAAAATTCTATGAAAGAGCTTTATGAAGATATTTTGGAGTTTGGTGAAATTAAGGTACAGTGTGTTTGCAGTATTTCCTTTATTTACCAATTTTATAACAACTTTTTGAAAGAAAATGAAGCTAAAAGCTTCAGTTGATTTGCATGCATCAGTTAGATTTTCTGTTTAATCTCTTTGGAATTTTGTTGAGGGTATTGGTACTAGACACGGTGGTTTATGATCCCTAGAATGTACCATTCCAGAGTTTTAGAAGAAGCACTGTTAAGCCACCCAACTGTAAGTCAAATATGTTGGATAGAAAAATAAGTTCCTAAGGTTCAGTGTTTGGCTTTAACTTGAATGATTTTTCTTTCTCCTTATATTTGGTTCACTTGTTGATCATTCCTTTGTGGTCAGTGGGTTAGTAGTAAATTCTCAACTATCACAGCTCTTGTTGTCTTCATTTCCTAACCCCTGGAGTGATTTTTAGTGGAAAAAAAAAATTACCCTGTGTTTCTTTAGTAAAATTATCATGTGCTCTGTATGAGCAACAACTAGGTTTTAAATTCTTTGATTTCCCTGAGCACGTTGGTAGTTGATGCCTTGGGCCCAATCAAGACCCTTGACAAAGAAGAATAACTTCACTGCATTAAACTTCTAACTTCATTGTCTCATTACACTCAAGCTTGTGACAATTTCAGGCTATGGAATGTTACACTCACACAGGTTTTGTATGTGTATTTGTGGAAATGTTAAATAAGTGATTTTACTTTACTGGTTTTGCTTTTAAAATTTTATGGAACGCTCTTTACCACTATGCATTGAATATAGTAAATCAAAACAGAGAAAGTGGGCAGTTTTAATGGCAGTCACAAGAGAAAGATAACATGAAAATTGAAGTAGTATAGTAGCTTTGCTCTTAGAAGAGAAGATGATGACAATTGGGTAAAGTTGTTTTAGTTAGATGTAAAATTTTATATACCTTACAAAATATGCTTTAAGTTTTACACATGTATGTGTGTTGGAAATGATTTTTGTCTCATTCATAGGCTCTGAAGACAGGACTCCCAAAAAGAGATTCTCTGAGGTGCAAAAAGAAAGACGTGAACAGGCACAGCGGACTGTTCTAATACTTTGTCCAAATAAAATCAGTGAAAAAAAGTTTCTCAAATATTTATCCCAACATGGACCTATTAATAATCATTTCTTCTTTGAAAGTTTTGTAAGTATTTGAAAAACAATGTAACTTATTTTTTAAAATTTCTTGCCTCTTTGCAATATGGTAAAGTTAGATTCTTTTTTGTTATCCTACATTTTTCCTTATCTAAATTTCTTTAGTGAGGTTTTTTTTTATATGAAAATAGAAATACAGGAGGATTGCAGATTTATAAGCTATTTATAACTGATGGATTTTATTACTTGAATACTTTGAATAGTTCCATTATCTTAGGGATAAAGGCCAGTGGGAGGGATCTTTGTTTTGCCATTAAATTTCTATTTCAGCATTCTTTTCAACTTCTCTTGACTAGTCTCAGTTTATAGTGTTCCTTTTTTTAATATGTTTATAACTGTTAAAACCAATGTTTTTGGTGGAAGCATATCATTTGTAAATTTTAAATATTAATATCTGCTCATGATAATTGCTTTGAGATATGAACTAAATATTATTGTGGCAACTACATCATTTTGAAATGTGTTCTGTTTTTATGTTTCTGTTATAGGGTCTTTATGCTGTTGTAGAATTTTGTCAAAAGGAAAGTGTAGCTTCACTGCAGAGTGTGACTCGTACTCTGAGTGTGGGCACAGAGGCTGTGATTCCATTCAGGTCACGTTTCTTCAATTTAAAGTTGAAGAATCCACCGAGCCAGACTTCCGAGCAGTCATGTATACCATGCAGTAACCAGTCGCCTCCTTCAAGCAAGAAGCTTTTTGAATTACTTTGTAATGCTGAGAGTGTAAGTTTATAGGAATACTTCCTTGACTTTAAAAGTGTGTGTTGCATTGTTTTGTATAAGTTCTTATTATTCAGTATTTAGACTACAGAATATGTTGAGTGAGAAGTGAATGTAATCCATCCCCACTTCCTACCCCTATGCCCCATTTGTACTCCTCAGAAGTGACCACATTTGTCCCAAGTTTTGGGCTTTTAGGCTACTGAGGCTTGCTTTCTCTTGTCATTATAGTGACATAATTTGTACATGATGATGTTCTCCAAATTTTAAAATGTCTTATTTCTGGTTTTATTTTTTTCTGCTCTAATAATGTATATATTATTTTTTGTTTTTCTTAAATTTTTTAAAGGTTTAGCTAGTTTAGTAGTCCTTTCAAAGAATCAGTCCACGGTTTTATTTATCAAAATACTATTTTTTGGTTTGATTTTCTAATTTCTTTAAAAAAGGTTTTATTTTTAGAGGGAGGGGAAGGAAGACAGAAAGAGAGGGAGAGAAACACCGTTTGGCTGCCTCTCACACATCCCCCCACTGCAGACCTGGCCTGCCACCCAGGCATGTGCCCTGACTGGGAATTGAACCGGCGACCCTTCTGTTTGTAGGCCACTGCTCAATCCACTGAGCCACACCAGCCAGGGCAATTTTCTGATTTTTAAAATTGTACTTCTTTTATATTTCTTTGACTTTTTTTATTTTTCTTGAGTGTTTTGTTATTAATATTATTTTCAAATATGAGCATTCATGCTATGATTTGTATTTTAAATATTTAATTCCAGTTTATACCTTGAAAATGTAATCATTTCAGCATTAGTCACATATATACACACAGACACATAAATACACACAAAATATAGGATTATTATTGTAAAGAGCATAGATCTTGGGGCTTCAAATCTCCTTTTAAGGCTGAAGGAAAAAAAGATTGCGTATTTTAAAGTAGGTCTCCAAAGCCATTAAGTCTGTAGAAGTGAAATGACAATTATTTTATATGACTTGTGCATTTTTGTACTCTGTTGGTTTTGTTTTTGGCCAGCTAGGTAGATGACCAGCTGAACACTCTGTTGAAGGAGTTCCAGCTGACGGAGGAGAACACGAAGCTGCGCTATCTCACCTGTTCGCTCATCGAAGACATAGCTGCTGCCTATTTTCCATACTGTGAAGTCAGACCCTTTGGCTCTTCCGTGAATGGTTTTGGGAAATTAGGATGTGATTTGGACATGCTTTTGGATCTAGATGAAATTGGAAAATCCAGTGCTCACAAGGTATATTTCTTTAGATCACTAAAATTAAGGTATTAGAAAAGTAAGAAAATCTTTGAATAAAGTTATAACTGTTGGTTTCTAAACTTAGTAAACATTGTGGTTAAAGAATATGGTCTGTTTGATATCGAATCTTTGAAATTGTAAAGTCTTTTTATTTGTCTAATATGTGGCCGTTTTTTAGTACCATTCTTTTTATACATAACAAAATGGTAATTTTCAAGAGTTCAGAAGTTTTCAGGTTAGGCCAACATTATTTACTGTGTTATTCAAAATATCTGTATCTTAACTAATTTTTTATCTGTGTTATCTAGTTACTGAAATATTTTTAAATCTCATGATCTTTGTCTTTAACAAGAAATTTTGGTGAGTAGCTTTAGTAACACTCACATTCCTGCCCATAGTTCACAGTTTCCCCAATTTCCTGGCTCTAATTCCATTACTTAGGCCTATTTTATGGTGTTGTTTTCACTTCTCTCACCTCAGTGATTTTATTCTTCTCTCATTTATATTATTTAATTTTTAAAAAATTACATTATCTCTTCTGTTTCTAACCCCTCCTTTGCATCTGAGTCATAATACCCAATCCACACTAGCTTAAAGAAAGGAAATTGGCAGTAGAAGAGGCATCATAGAACCCATGGTCAGAAATGTGGATGAGTCTTCGGAAAGGACTAGCACTAGGAAGTGTAAACTATCAAGAATTCATGAAGTGTTCTTTCTTTCTACAGATTTGTTTTATCTTTCTTTCTCCCCTTCACTACCCTCTACCACCATTGATTTTCCTTACATTTTCTTCTTTGTGTTATACAATGCACCTGCCCCAGAACTTCTGAGTTACATATTTCAGCAATGTGGTTGCCTCTGAACCTCAGTTCCAGTTCCTAGTAGAGATCTCTGTATGAAAGATACGTTCCTATAGTGCTTAGATCAGTTGCCTGGGCCTGGGCCTCTGGGCTGAAAGTAGGGGGTGAGTGGGTGGGTAGATTTCCATCATAAACATTGTTGGGGCCTGAATCCTTTTTGTAGGAATTTCTGGAAGGAAGAGTGGTTGAGTGTAGGGAGCCTCACAGGTAATGCTGCAGTGAGTGAACAGCTTGGTAAATTGACTCATTTATGCAAGTATTCCTTTGGGATAATGTCCTAGTATTGTAACAGCTAGTCAAAGTGTACACCTAAAATTTCAATAGATACTGAAGTCATCCAAAAATTATATCCTAGTTTACATCTCCCCGATAGCATGTACATGTTTCCCTACCCGCATTAGTGCTGGTTCTGTCAGCCTTTTTGCCTTTGCCAGACTGATAGATAAAGTCTCATTGGTGTTTTAATTTCTTTTGTTTGTTTCCAGTATTTTTTTATTTTTAAAGATTGACAATTTCTCCTTTTTCTTTTTTTTTTAAGATTTTTTAAAAAGATTTTATTTATTTATTTTTAGAGAGGGAAGGGAGGGAGAAAAAGAGAGAGAGAAACATCAGTGTGCGGGTTGGTGGGGGCCGTGGCCTGAAACCCAGGCATGTGCCCTGACTGGGAATTGAACCTGCGATGCTTTGGTTCACAGCCCGCGCTCAATCCACTGAGCTACACCAGCCAGGGCTGTTTCCAGTATTTTTTAAATTGTGAGAGTATGTAGATAAAATTCTGGGTTTAAGAATCATTAGGGCACTTATTTTATATTCCCCTTTAGTCTAATTATGGTATTAATTTAAGATATAGTTAGGTTTATTTGTTTTCTGTTTGTTTGTTTTATAGATTTTATTTACTTTTTAGAAGGGGGAAGGGGAGGAGAAAAGGAGAGAAACATCAGTGTGTCGTTGCCTCTTGAGCACCTCCTATTGGGGACTTGGCCCACAACCTAGGCATGTGCCCTGACTGGGAATGGAACCGGCAACCCTTTGGTTTACAGGCCTGCACTCAATCCACTGAGCTACACCAGCCAGGGCTGTTTTCTTTCTTTTTCTTTTTTTTTATTAAATATTTTATTGTTGTATTACAGTTGTCCCAGTTTTTCCCCCTTTGCTGTTCTCTGTCCAGCCCACCCCCTTCTCCGACAGTCATTCCCCACCCTGTTGTCCATGTCTACATGTTCCTTGACTAGTCCCTTCCCCTTCTTTCCACCGTTATCCCTCTCCCCCTTCTCTTCTGGTCACAGTCAGTTGTTCCTCATTTCCATACTCTGGTTCTATTTTTCTCATTAGTTTATTTTGTTCATTAGGTTCCTCTTATAGGTAAGATCATATGGTATCTTTCACCAACTGGCTTATTTCACTTAGTATAATATTCTTCAGTTCTATCCATGCTTTCGTGAAAGGTAGGAGTTCCTTCTTTCTTTCTGCTGCATAGTATTTCATTTTGTAAATGTGCCACAGTTTTTTGATCTACTCATTTACTGGTGGACACTTAGGCTGTTTCCAGCACTTGGCCATTATAAATAACACTACTGCGAACATAGGGGTGTATAAGTTCTTTTGATTTGGTGAATTTGGTGACTTGGGATTCTTAGCATATATTCCCAGCAGTATCAGAGATCTTAGGGTATAATTCTAGCAGTGGAATTGCTGAGTCAGAAGTCAGTTACATTTTTACTTTTTTGAGGAAATTTCTGTACTGTTTTCCACAGTGTCTGCACCAGTCTGCATTCTCACCAACAGTGTACTAGGGTTCACTTTTCTCCACAACCTTGTCAGCACTTGTTTGTTGATTTGTTTATGATGGCCATTCTGACCAGTGTGGGGTAATACCTCATTGTGGTTTTAATTTGCATATCTCTGATGGCTAGTGATGCTGAGCATCCTTTCATATGTCTCTGGGTCCTCTGTATGTCCTCCTTGGAGGGGGTGTCTGTTCAGGTCCTTGTCCATTTTTTAATTGTACTGTTTGTCTTCCTGGTGTTGAGTCGAATAGTTCTTTACATATCTTGTAGATCAAACCTTGTCTGAGGTATCAGTGGCAAATATGTTCTCATATTTGGTCGGTTCCCTTTTTGTTTTGATGATTTTTTTTTTTTTAGTTAGCCATGCAGAAGCTTTTAATTTGATGTAGTTTATTTGTTTATTTTTTCCTTTATTTCCCTTGCCCTAGGGAATGCATTGTTAAAAATATTGCTGCATGGGATATCAGAAATTTTACTGCCTATGTTTTCCTCTAGGACTTATGGTTTCATGACTTCTGCTTAAGTCTTTTATTCATTTTGAGTTTACTTTGGTGTCAGTTGCTGGTCTAGTTTCAGTCTTTTGCATGTACCAGTGCAGTTTTCCCAACACCATTTATTGAAGAAGCTATTTTTACTCCATTGTGTGCTCCTGCCCCCTTTGTCAAATATTAACTGACCATAGAGACATGAGTTTATTTCTGGGCTTTCTGCTCTGTTCCATTGATCTATGTGTCTGTTCTTATGCCAGCCCAGACTGACTGATTCCAGTGTCCTTGTAGTATAGTTTGATATTAGGCATTGTGATCCCTCCTACTTTGTCCTTTTCTCAAGAAGAGGCTATTCAGGGTCTTAACTTGGTTCTAATTTCTTTAGTTTCTAGAAAACAAGAACATGTTTTACTATGTTTCTTAGCCATTTTTATTCTGTTAAATTTTTGTTCAAGTCTTTGTTGCCCATTTTTAGAATTGGGTGGGTTTTCCTCCCTTTCGTACAAACCCTTCATAAATTAGGGAAAGTATTCCTTATGTGACATTTGTCTTACTTTGTCTTTTATCTAGTACTGGATATATGCCTTGCCTTAAGATGGTTTTAATTTTTATATAATTATATTCTTTTGCGTGTTCTAGAATTTTGTGTAATACTTAGTGAATCCTTCACTTCTTTGAGATTTTAAAACTTCAACCGTTGTCTTCTAGCTCTTTACTGATAAAACGTTTTATGATGTCTTTGATATATGTTGATATTTTGGTTTTTGGACCAAAGTAGGGATGTGGGTTGTTTTATTTGTTTCTTGTTAGTTTTTTTGTGGCCCCATGACTCATTTGTTGAATAGTAATTTTCCCCCAGTAATTTGCAGAGCTCATTTTATTAAATATTAAATTGCTCTCTATATAGTTAAGTCTGTCGATGCTGTCTTCTGTTGATCTTCTGATCTTGTGTGTGTACTGTTGTCTGCTTTTGCCTGTTTTGTTTTTTGTTTTTGTTTTGATTTGTTTTTGCTAGAAATGACTTAGAACATCCTTTTAGAAAAGATTATGTAAGAAATTCCTTTTAATAAAATGCTTCTATTTACAAATGTTTTCATTATTCAGACCTCAGGAAACTTTCTGATGGAATTTCAAGTGAAAAATGTTGCTTCAGAAAGAATTGCAACTCAGAAGATCCTGTCTGTGATAGGAGAATGCCTTGACCACTTTGGCCCTGGTTGTGTGGGTGTACAAAAAATATTGAATGCTCGGTGTCCACTAGTGAGGTTCTCACACCAGGCCTCTGGATTTCAGTGTGATTTGACTGCCAACAATAGGTATGATTGCTTAAGTTTATCATCTTAAATGGGAATATTATAAGGTGTTGGCATAGTTTTTCTTGTAATGAACTGTCTAGTGGCTTTGGAGCCATAGATGTGCTTTAAAGATTTGAACATGGGGTTCAAAAAGCAGGAAATACTTTCTGTTAGATGCATTAGTTTTTTTGGTATTCATAACTAAAATGTTAGGATATTGTGTTAAAATGTTACATACCTAACTAACATCACTTTCCGGAAGAATTGTATTGCATTGTTATTGTTTATGCAGCCTGATAACAACATAAACTACCTGTAGTATATAGTAGTATATAGTCTTCTCTATGTAGGCTTCTAAATATGCTTAGAAAATAAAGTAGCAACTTGAGTTTGACTTCTGAATTATCTCCAGACACAGTCAACTCTGTGTTTTAAACAAATATGGTATTTGCTTAAGTTAGAATGTAGTCTGAGTGGCTTTAGAATGTGTAGGTTTTTCTTTAGCATATTTTCATTTTATTATCCTAGCAACCTGTTTGCTTAAAAAAAAAAGAGGATGAGAATAACAAGTTCCTTTATACTCTATTTTTCTTTTTTTTTTTTTGTTCTCAATAAGGAAAACATTGAGTTTTTTATTTTTAAAATAATATTTATTTCCTTTTCACAGGGAGGGTAAGAGAGGAAGAGAGGGAGGGAAATAGTGATGTGAGAGAAAAACATCCATTGGTTGCCTCTTGCACATGCCCCAATAGGGGACTGAACCTGCAGCTCAGGCATGTGCCTTGACTGGGAATCGAACCTGCGACCTTTTGGTTCATGGGGCAACACCCAACCAACTGAACCATGCTGTCCAGGGGAAGAAGTTTATTTTTTAATTCTGGTATCCTCATTGCATGCATTTCATGTCACTATAATATCTGTTGGATAAGTAATCATTACTAAAAATATTCAGAAAATCCTATCTAGAGTAGTTTTAATTAAACTTAAGGGTTCACTAACAAGATAATGCTGAGTACTTCTGAATTTCTCTTAAGTGGCTGATGGAGAAAAAGTAAGTAAAAATATACACTGCACTTTCTAACATCAGTTTATTTCTGGTATGTAAATTAGAACAAAATGACATTTATCTTTAATTATCATTGTCTTGTTGGGACAGGTTTTTAAACATTTGTTTTAAGAGGCTTCAGGTTTTTAATCCTTGCATCATTTCTTTATATTGGATACTTCACACTATTTGATATTTATTTTTCAGCTTAAGTTAGCTTCAATTATATAGATAAAATATTTTTATTCTAAAACAACGATAACATCACAAGTTGCATAAAAAGAGATAGCTTTTACAAAAATGATTTTTGATAGAAAAATACTTGATTCCAGCTGATATTTGTAGGAACTGCATATTTTATATTGCAAATATGTTACACTTTTGGTTTCCTGGTCATGGTGTTCTGAAGACATTCAGATATTGGAAGATATTTAGGTGTTTCTAGTTGTGTGTTTTATTCTACTTTGGAATCATAATTTGGTGGGTTGAAAATTCTTTTTATTTTTCTCTTTTGAAGGATTGCCTTGAAAAGTTCTGAACTCCTTTATATATACAGTGCCCTGGACTCGCGAGTGAGAGCCTTGGTGTTCAGTATCCGGTGTTGGGCTCGAGCACATTCATTAACGAGTAGTATTCCTGGTGCTTGGATCACAAATTTCTCCCTTACAATGATGGTCATCTTCTTCCTGCAGAGGAGATCACCTCCTGTTCTTCCAACACTGGACTACTTAAGAACCCTAGCAGGTAAGACTAGAAGCAGTGTCTGTTTTCTTCTTGGCATTTTGAATGAATATAATTCCCATGTGTTATCAAAGTTGTGTGTGTTTGTTTTTATTCATCCTGTAATTTGTTGTGTGTATTTTTAAAGCCTTATGGATCTTAAATTTAAGTGCTTTTTATTTTTTAGTGCCCACTAGGGGTCATAAGAGCAGATGATTTGTGAAGCTGAAGCCCATAGACTTTTTTGAGAAATCTGTTTTGTTTACTTTTTTTGTATCAATTGACAAGGTTGTTTACAACTATCATGAGACAGTTGGAGCCTCTCCAACTGTCCCAGTTTGGGGCAGTTTGACCAAGCCTGGGGGTGGGGGTGGGAGACATCAACATATCCCAGATACAGCTTTTGAGTGGGTCACAGATTCATAGATGGCTATGTAAATTTGAACCTATTTCCAGATTTCTGTCAGTTGCTAAAAATTGTTTCATGATGTTTAAAGATCCTAAATTTTAAAAAAAATTATAATCAATCTTAAGGTTTAAAATCAGTATGCTACTTAACTTACATTATTAAAAAATTGAAATTTTGATACACTTAAAGCTTGAGATATCAAAGTATTAAAATCCTAAATTCTAAAAGGAAGATAATTTAGGGATACACTTAAAATGTATTACACCCTGTAGTCTGCCTATTCTGTATATTGCTGCCAGATAATTATTTTAAAGGACGTGTCTAAAACTTCCCTGTTTAAAGTGACTTTTAAAGGGGTTTTATTCCCTACAGAGTAAACCTCAGACAGTGTCCTTAGTATGTTAAGACTTTCCTCTGTCTAGCCCCAACACAGTTTTCCAGCCTCCTTCCCACCGTTCCTCTTCGAGCATTCCATATTCCTGCCAGTGCTGTGAGTAGCCTCATGAGGTTTTGTCTTAGCTCTTGTTCACACTGTTTTTCTACCTTGTTCTGTTGATTCTCTCTTCTATGCCACTTTCCCTTATTCCAATTATAAATAATCTTTTCTTTCCTGTGAACACTTTAAGTACAGACTGAAATTGAGCTCTAAAACAGCTCAGCGTGACAGGTTAATGGAAAGTAGGAAGTTTGCAGGCAGAGTGGTGGCCATGTTTCTCACTTTTGAGATTGAAATAGAGGGCAACACCCATGCTTGTCCTTGTCTCATTGTTTGGTGTTACTCATTCACTGAGTATTTATTGGTTACTTACTATGTGTTTGGTGTTATTTTTGGTGCAGTGGGGATATGGACGATATTCTCAGGAACTCAGTCTAGTACGGAGGTTTAAAATTCTGCTAGTTATTTTGGAAAAAGAATTCTTTGTGGGCAAGTTGAAATTGACTTGCTGAGTTTTTATTTTAAATTTATTTTAAAATAAATTGAAATTTATTCACATCTATGGTATCAAAACAGGTGAAAACTAGCTTTGGAATTCTTCAGTTTTCTATTTCAAAATACCAAATAGTTGTTGAAAGGTTTTCACCTTTTAAAACATGGTACGAGGTATTTTCAGGCTGTTTTTTGCAGACATTTTAGGTGTGAATTGCCAATAAATGCAAGATAATTTGATATAATTATTGCTTTGGTCTTTGAAGTTCTAGCAGTGTCTTGAGTTTGCCATAAAAGAATTTTTCACATTTGATATTCAAATAAAAGCTATCAATTTGTATATTTTTATAAAAGAAGAAATGCATTTTGCTTGCTTCTTGCTTTTTATTGGAAAACAGCATGAATTTCTGTAATACCTTTCTAGAATTTTGTTAACCAGTGTTTGGAACCTAAAATAAGTTACAGTCCAAACTTCATAGTCTTGTATTTAGGGCCCTTTGTGAGCTTCCTTTTTCTCCTCTTCTGCATTCATTCCTGTGTGCAAATCAGGAGCTTCAGCACTTTAAACTCCTTGTGGATCCTCAGATGTTTTTCCATTTTCCCCTCTCTGTCCCTGCCTCTTTTTACATGGAGAACCTCTTCAAGATTCAGCCAGGAAAGAGAGAGAGAAACCCATTCAAAGGTATCATTTTGTTAGGTCTTTCTTGCCTTCTTGCCAGGAGGTAGTGCTCCGTTGGCATCCAAACACCCTGGGCACACCTGTATCGTAACAACTTTTAGATTGTTATAGTTCTTTAATCTGCAGGCCTTTGCCAAGCTTTTCTAGGGCAGGCTGTCTTTGGCTCCTTTCAGATCTTCGTTCTTGGCATGGTGTTGGGTCTGTAGTAGAAGTTCAGTAAATAGATTTCACATGGGTCGGTGAACATTTTAAAGTTGAAGGCTGTTTCAACTTTAAATTTTTTACTATTAAATTTCTACTACTTTCCCCCATGTCTCTTATTTTCTGGTGTGTTTTATTCTTTTTTTTTTTTGGCTTTGCTACCTTTGTTATATTTACTTCTGTACTTAAGGCTTTTCTGTACTTAGTACCTCTCTGCTTATAAACAGTTGTTTGATTAGAGGGTTTTTTTGTTTGTTTGTTTGTTTGTTTAGGATCCTTGTTCGTTTTTTCTGTGAGGAATTTAAGGCTTGAGGAAGAAATGACTGAGTAGCACCTTTAACAAATTTGATGCAGAGACCCCAGTGTAGAGGAGTGCTCTGATTGGTAGCTCTGTGTGATCTAGTAACAACTTACTGAATGCTAACTCTGTGCCAGGCACTTTGCTAAAAAATTTTATGCATCATCACATTCAATCCTTCAGCAAACCTTACTAGGGCAGAGTTACTATTTTCATTTTACAGGTGAAGAAATGAAGGCTTTGAGAGAGTATCTAAATTTCTTTGAGAGAGTATCTAAGGTCACATAGTTAGAGCATTCTAGACCCAGAATTCAAACCCAAGCACTTTTCAGAGTGTAGATAGAACACACATAGAAGTACATGTATGTTATCAACATTCATAAACTGAACACATCCACGTAACCTCTACCAAATTGAATGAAGCACCCCAGAAACAGCAGCCGGGCTCCCTTCTAGTCACTGTACCCCTCTCCCACCCCAGCTCGGATTTTACAGCGTGGATTAATTTTACCTGTTACAGCTTGTGTAAAAGGCATCATGGAGTATGTTATTTTGTGTGTGCTGTTTTCCCTCTCACCATTATTTTTAGGAGAGTCATTCATATTGTTAGTGTATTTGTGGACCATTTATTTCCATTGCTATGTAGTATTCCATTAGGTGAATATACCAAAAAAATTAAATTCTATTTTTGATGTGCATTTAAGTAATTTGAAGTTAGGGACTACACAGGTGGTACTAGTGGGACAGTTGTGGCACATTTCTTTTGGTGAGTGCAGGTGTGTACTAGCAGTGGAATTTTTTTTTTTCATTTTAAATGAAAAATTTTTATTTATTGATTTTCTTTTTTTTAAACTATTTTTAAAAGCTTTTATTTATTTTTAGAGAGAGAAGGGAGAGAGGGAGGGAGAGAGAGAGAGAGAGGGAGAGGGAGAGGGAGAGGGAGAGGGAGAGGGAAAGAAACATCAGTGTGTGGTTGCTGGGGGTTATGGCCTGCAACCCAGGAATGTACCCTGGCTGGGAATTGAACCTGCGACACTTTGGTTCGCAGCCTGCGCTCAATCCACTGAGCTACGCCAAGCCAGGGCTGATTTTATTTTCAATTACAGTTTACATTCAGTTTTATTTTGTACTAGTTTCAGGTGTACTGCATAGTGGTTAGGTAATCGTATACTTTACAAAGTGTTTCCCCCTGATACAGGTGTGGAATTTCTGAATCTTAGAATTTGGGTCTATTCAGCTTTAGAGACATTGCCAGTTTTCCGAGGTGTTAACTCCCACAGGCATCATATACGAGTTCTAATTACTGCATGTCTTTGCATACCTGGTGTTGCCTTTTTCTTATGTAGCTCTTCTTAATGCATGTGTGGTGGCTTTATGGTGTGGTTTGAGTTTCTTTTCCCCAATAACTAATGAAATTGAGCATCTCTTTATATGTCAGCTCGAGTGTCTCTTGTGAGGTTTCTCTAAGTCATTGCTTTTTTTATTGGATTATCTGTTATTTTTTATTTGTAGGAATTTTTGTATGCTTTGCATGAGTCCTTTGTCACATATGTTGTATGTATATATCTGTATATCTCAGATATATGTACACTGCTTCCCTTTTCCTTCTCTTAATGTTGTCTGATGGAAAAAAAAACTGGTTTTTTCAAGTTCAGTTCTATCAAAGTTATACATGTACATAGATGAAGAGTAAAAATTTTCTACAAACTTTGTAACAATAACTTGCCCTCTGAGCCCTCTGAGCCTGTTACGTCTAGGCAGGCAACCACTTTAACTCAAACAGCTGATCTGTTTGATATTTTAAACCATCCGTATTTCTAAAATAAAATGCTTGAATTGTGGTTTCTTGACTTCTAGGTTTAGGCACCAAAGGAGGAATTAACTCTCTTTCTCCTGTACCCCCATCACACACCCGCTATATTTTGAAAGTAGCTATAGCAGCATTGTGGTGTGCCCTCTTTACATGATTATGGCTTTGTCAACATTCATATCTGACCCATGGACACTAAGACTGATTTCCTTTTCTACCTAACTTTTTATCTTTGGGGGGTTAGTATAGTTTTTAGTACTACTTATTTTCTGTTTTGTTTGTTTGTTTGCTTAGTTCTTATGTACTTAACATTAATTAAATCTCAAACTTGCTACCATTGTTTATATCTTTCCTTGAAAGAGTCAGAAGCAGGTAATATTCTATTAATTAATTCTTCCTTGCCTAGCCTCTGTTTTTTCTAAACAGCCTTTATTTTGTTTTGTTTAGTCTTATATTAGAGACTTTCCTCAGATGCCTGATGAGCTTCAAATTTCTATTTCTGTTTGAGTTAGAAACCAGAAAGTTAGTTTGAATCTCTGAGCTTAGGTGGGGTTTGTTGTCTGATGAACGTTTGTTGTAGGGTAATAGGGCTGAACTGTTTTGTTTGGAGGAACTTTAGATGTCAGAATCTCTGGGCCGTTCCTTTTGGGCTATTCATAGTCCCCAGAAATGGCTCTTTTAATTCTTTTTAAAGAATTTTAATTTAGTTCTTTTTTCTTTTTTTTCCTGGAAGAACAGACCAGGCTACTAGCATACTGAAGTTTTCTGTTAGGGAAAAAGAGATGGGGGGGCAGGGGAGGGTGGAGTCTAAGTACTTCTTTAATCTTCGAGTTCCCAGTCCTTCAGGCAGATGTGGCACTGCAGTCCCTGGGCCAGCAAGGGTGCTGCCTTGGGTATCTGGCTTCTTGGCCTTCTTTGCTGCTGGCTAGGGTTTAGTGTTTTCATATCTCCTAAGTCATTGCTACTTAGCCATCTGTCCTTTAGTTTAAAATTTTTTATTGTTCCTATCTCTTCTGTTCTTGATCTTTACAATTTTATGTCATTTTACTTTTATTTTAGTGGTTTTATGGAGTTTTAGGAGGGGTGAATATAGATGCTTGTGTTTCTTTAACCATCTTTAGTCTATGCTCTTAACCAGGATATATAGAGGCTGCCTCCCTGAGAGGCTGAGTGTTATTGGAGCATGTCGCATGGTGTGAGGAGCAGATAGGACTTGACTTTGTTGATTTACCTTGTCCCTTTCTAAGTTCTCTCTGACAATTGTAGATAAGCATGCAGAATCAAACATCAGGGATCATTCAAACTATTGGTTATGTGCCTGCTGATGTTAGGCACTTGTTCTGGATTAGACTGGATGGAGAGGCAGTAACGAATAGAACAGTGGTCCCAGACTGGTGTCGGGGAGAAGACTGCATCCACACAACCAACATGCAGTCAGATAAGCACTAAAAACAAAACGGGAGGTCACCAGCTTCGGAGTTAGGAAATGCTTTCAGGTGAGGTACCATTGATTTGATTAAGGTTGAGAGTTTGTCTGCATATTTGTACAGTGGAAGGTAGATTAGAATGATGAGGAATTTTATGGTGGTTGTACATTTATCAATAATTAAGGAAATGATTATCTCTGTAGATAAAAATATTGGGTTGGTCAAAAACTTTTTTTTCTGTAAGATGGCTCTAGTAGCATTTAGTTGTCTTTAACTTCATTTGACAGCTGTATTGTGACAGCTGTCATGTCAGTTTGCATTAAAAAAACCTAACAAAATTAGTAAATTTTTTTTTAAGATTTTATTTATTTATTTTTAGGGAGGGAAGGGGTGGGAGAGAGAGAGAGAGAGAGAAAGAGAGAAACATCAATGTGCAGTTGCTGGGGGTTATGGCCTGCAACCCAGGAATGTACCCTAGCTGGGAATCAAACCTGGGACACTTTGGTTCCCAGCCCGCGCTCAAAATTAGTGAATTTTTATGTAGGCATTTTAATACTGAAGGTGGAAGAAAAGCAATATTTTCAGCACATTATGCTTTATTATTTCAAGAAAGGTAAAAACACAACTGAAATGCAAAAAAATAAAAGATTTGTGCTGTGGATGGAGAAGGTGCTGTGACTGATGGAACCTGTCGGAAGTGGTTTGTGAAGTTTCATGCTGGAGAGTTCTTGCTGGATGATGCTCTGCAGTTGGGGAGACCAGTTGAGGTTGATAGCAATCAAATTGAGACTTTAAATCAAGACAGTCAATGTTATACCATGTGGGAGATAGCGAACATACTTAAAATACCAAAGTAATAAAGTTATTGGTCAAAATGAAAAGTGTGTCTTTTATATTATGGAAAAAACTAAACGGACTTTTTGGCCAACCCAATACTATTAGGAAAGGGGAATGTTTACATCCAGTGTAGTGTTAAGTTTATTGTACTGAATTCCAGTCTTTTAAAGCACTGCATTTTAGAAATTTGTTTTTTATAAAATTCTTAGAGCATTCAGTTTGTGTCATGGGTGGATTATTGAAAATAATGTATAGAAAGGTGATAAGAGCGGAAATGGAGATCAAAATAAAATACTGTTGATCAAAGATAGTGCCAAGATTTGAGTTGGTGAAAGATGGGAGCTGCCTGCATTTTCATTTATAACTAGAAAACTGATCACCTCAAAAGATGCATTAAGAATCGTTGGTTGATAGGCAGTTCTAGTAGGCTAAAGTAAATGTAATGTTCATGTCCCTGTGGTATAATTAGTCTAAATCTTTTAAATGGAGTTTTAAATTCTGTTAACTATAAATATATGTGACACTGAGTAGTAATAGGAAATACTAATCTATAACTGATTTATTTAATTATAGTTTTCTTTTCTGAATAGGGAATATCTTTGAAGTATAATGTGAAATATTTTTATTTCTGTTTATGTAAGATGCAGAAGATAAATGTATAATAGAAGGCCACAACTGTACATTTATTTGTGACTTGAATAGAATTAAACCTTCAGAAAACACAGAAACACTAGGTAGGTGTTTTTCTTTTCTATTTTGTTCTTTTTTGGATTGAAACAGACTTTTTCCTTATTATTTGTGTTCTCTTTTTTTTTGCAGAATTATTACTGAAGGAATTTTTTGAATATTTTGGAAATTTCGCTTTCAATAAAAATTCCATAAATATTCGACAGGTAAATAATATTTTAATATTTGGTGATTAGGTATCTGATCGCCTACTGTACTAATGTTTAGTTTTTTTATTTTAAGAAATGAAGGTGGGATTTATTTTTATTATAAAAGAAAAAAACTCTTTAGAATCTTAACAAAGGAATATTTCACTCAGAATAGATACCAGGATACAAAATTACAAGTGTTTGACCCCAGCCCTGCCCCCCTCTCCTCTAAAAATAGATGGGAAGGAGACAATGAAAGCAAATAAGCAATTCTGTAAAACAAAGTCTTCAAATCCTACAAATGTGATTAAAATCTAAATTCTTTTGCAGTAAATTTTTTTTTAATATGTCAAAAGACCTGCTTTAGTGTCATCCTGTCCCCCAGGAAAGAACCCAATGCCCCTGTCAGGAACATACAGGCTACAGTTGACCAGCCAGCTCCTGTTCCCAAACCCCTGTGTACACACGTGTCTTCACACCTGAGCCAGGGGCATGTGTGACTGCTGCTGCCGTGCGTGCGTCTTCCTGTTACCGACCAGCATCCACCCCCTCCCGAAGGGCAGGCAGGGCACAGAGAAACCCTTAAATGGCAGTGAGGGTTTAACAGCCCCTAACAGCCAAATTTCAAGCATTTCCACCCAGTTTTCAAAGCACTCTAAAAAATGTTATTACATTTCAATTTCACAGTAATAGATACTAATAAGGAAATTGATACTTAAAGGAGATGCATAAGTTGACCAAGATCAGTCACCTAGTTTTTTTGGAAGAGCAAAAGCCAGCTCTTTCAATATTTAATACTGTATCTTTCAAAATGTGGAATATATTTTGAAAAGTTTTCTGGGAAACATAATTTTACAAAGAGTTCTTTTTCAATGGGATCTGTGTTCTAGAGAACAAATTGGATATCTGATCTCAAAGCTAGATTTTAGTGAGTCCCTCAGTTGAAGCCCTTAGGTTTTAATTTAGGCAAGTGAACTTCTGATTTTGGTTCTTCTGAATAGCTGGAGTGATAGACATCTTTCTGAAGAAGAAATCGCAGACCCCTAGGCAAAATTTGTTTGTAAGTGGGGGTAGGTACTTGAGACCCTTCTCTGATTGGGTTTATCCTGTTTGTCGTTTTGGACATTCAGTTACAACCCTTATAAGATTGGCTTTCTAAAGCACATACTCAGATTTCTTGTTGTTGTTTCTTCAGCTCTCCTTTTTTCATTCTTTCCTAATTTTTATCCTGCTGATGGAGATTCTGTTTTTAAAAAAGTGTGGGAAAGAGAGGGGCTGAGACAGAGCTCTGGAATACGGTCTGATTAGTAATTAGATTCCAGTTTAGAAAAAGGTCATTGAACACATGAAATTCTTTATCCTTTTTGTATTCTTACCCCTGAGGGCTCAGAGATGATGGACAGGCAGAGCTTTGCTGAACAGTGGAATGAGAGAAGTCAGGGAATAAACATATGCTTGCTTACACTGGAGAATCCTGAGCATTTGTTTTGTAATTTTAAGTAAGAAATGGTGTCCTTTTGAAAGGAAAAGATTATATCAACTAATGGAGTCATGGCTGCAGGTTTTTTACTGTTTTCCCTGTGAGCTGCCATACCTGGCAGAGCCTTACTTAAGTTGGATCTTTAGGAATGATGAAATAGGAGACTTTCAGTGTTTTAAAATGAATAATGAGTAATCCTTTGTTTCTTTTCTGATTTTATGCGCAGGAAACATTTAATTTAAGGATTCTAGTTGTGTGTGCTTCTGTACTCATTGTAGTAGGTGTATCTTTAACAAATCTGAAAAACAAATGTATCTTTACCTTGCATTCTGCCATTTTTCTTTTTCTTTTTTTTCCCCCTTCCCAGTGCTATCCTGTTAGGTAAAAGAGGTTATTTTAAAAATACTTTCATTGATTGACTTAGTCCAGATGCTCTCAACTGAACATCATCATCCATAGCTCAAAAACCAAATTAATTTTTCTCTAAAGAATGCTCATAAAACTGATAGAAAAAAGTCAGCAGTGCATATATACACACAGATGCATAACACATATAAACCTAGTCCTTTTTGGAAAGAAATTCTTTACTCTGTAAAGTTAATGCTGGTATTTTACATGTTTTTGACATTTTATTAAGTCAAAATGTTCTTAATTCTGAGCCTTTCATGTATGTATATGCTTTTTCTTCCTTGTAATAATGTGTGTAGGGAAGGGAACAGAACAAACCCGAATCTTCTCCACTGCACATTCAGAATCCTTTTGAAACTTCTCTCAACATCAGCAAAAATGTAAGCCAAAGCCAGCTGCAAAAATTTGTAGATCTGGCCAGAGAAAGTGCCTGGATTTTACATCAGGAAGATAAAGATCACCCTTCCCCATCAAGTAATCAGCCATGGGGGCTGGCAGCCCTGCTACTGCCTTCTGTAGCGAACAGTATGTCTCATGCCAAGAAGAAAAGGAAGAAGCCTGCAAATGAACGGGTTAAAAACTTGTTGGAATCCATAAAAAGTAGCAGTACAGAAAATTCCACAAACACCAGTGGGAAAAGAACAGATAGTACTCAAGCATAATGGCTTCTGCTTGGCTTTAAGAGCTGGTTTTATCCTATAAAATGATCTTCGGGCTGCCTGGTGGACTTTTCACAAAGCTCAACTTTCACCTGATGTCTCCTCTTTTCGTGATCTTCGATCTTCTCTCTGGGCCCTTGATCTGGTCTCAAGTTCTGGGACGTTTTCAGGCTGATCAGGCTACGACACGGGCACTTTATTAAAACATCAGCTACAAGGAACAGGAGAATGAAGATTGAAATGTACGTTAATAACTGTACAAGCGAACGGTAAAGATTAGTTTTAGAATCATTGTCGATACCCTTGTCAGTCCCTAGGTATGTACATGTACAGTCAAATGCAATAAAGCTTCACATTTTGGTAATACTGCTTAGTATGTATTTTTGTATTCTGTAAGCAAAGTGCTTTTATTCACATATAAACTAAAAGGGGTTGGTAATGATTTTGAAAAAAAGTTCATGTTTCTAAAAGATGAATGCAGACACTTACGTCACTATGTTCTGGGTATTCTATGCAATATTGGTACATTGTATTTTAAATATTATTTAGTTACTTTTTCTATTTTAAAAATTAAAGCCCTATTACTATTAATCTGTAGTATTTCTAGTATTTCTTCACTTCTCTTTTGAAAACTTCTTTATTTCCTGTAGGAAATAGATGTGTATTGAAATATAATTCCATTACATTTCCTTGAAGTAACTTCCATTTTAAGAAGCAGAAGTGTGGTGTTTGAAAATACGGACTTGAGCTAGATGTGCCTCTTGGTAAATTACTTGGTCCCCGTGGGCTCCCAGCCGTTCCATGTGTAAATGGGATGATGGTGGTGCCCACTTCACAGCTGTGGCAAAGACAGTGAAGGATGTATGTCTTGAGCCTGGCACATAGTCCTTGGTGCTTCTCTTTAGCTGTTCCTTTTTTTGTGTTTGTGGTATGTGACTACTCTTCTTGGCTACTCAAAATTCAGATTTAGAGTGTGTCGTGGTTTTCAAAATAGTTTCCCATGTAAATTTTCAGTCACAAACTATAATGAGCTCTGCTTTGGATGTTTTGGGAAACTAATAGAATTGTTATGAGGCAAATAAGTTCTTTATAGCCAACTTTTGAAACCAACAAATAAGTATCAGTATTCTTTTATATAAGTGGTGTCTTCAAAAGCCATTTTTCATTCATTCTTTAATGAGGTTTATTTTGTTGGACTAGAAACCTGTATTATGAATTAAAAAGATTTTAAAAGCATAAGTATTTAAGAGCTTCTAAATGAAATTTTTTTTCTTTATTTGGACATTTTTCTCTTAGATTGGTATTAAGTCTGAAATGGTCATATAAGTACATAAAATGTGCATGTATGTGTTAGTATTTTCTTTTTTGTAATTTATAGAATGATTTTTGGCCCTGTAGGTCTGTTTTACTTTTCAGAAGAAAATCTAATGGTTATATACAGTGATCTTTTAATATAAAGTTTTAACTGAATATGAACTACAACCAAATTTAATGTTTTCTCATAAGTTCATTGTATCACTCAAAAATTTTATTTTTATTTTTTAAATTATATTTTATTGATTATGCTACTTAACAGTTGTCCCAATTTTTCCCCTTTTGCTCCCTTCCACCCAGCCCCATACCAGCTGCCTAAGGCAATCCCCACACCGTTGCCCACGTCCATGGGTCATGCAAACATGTTCTTTGGCTCTTCTATTCCCTATGCTGTACCTGACATCCCCATGACTGTTCTGTAACAACCAATGTGTACTCCTTGATCCCTTCACCTTTTTAGTCCATCCCCGCAATCCCCCTCCCAGCTGGCTACCATCAAAACAATCTCTGTATCTGATTCTGTTTCTGCTCTGCTTGTTTATTTTGTGTTTTAGATTCAATTGTTGAGAGATATGTATTTGTTGCCATTTTATAGCTCATTTTTAAAATCTTTTTCTAAATAAATCCCTTTGACATTTCATATAATAATGTTTTGGTAATGATGAATTCCTTTGATTTTTTTCTTGTCTGGGAAACTATCTGCCCTATGATTATAAATGATAGTTTTGCTGGGTAATCTTGGTTGTCGGTCCCTGCTTTTGTCACTTTGGATGTTTCTTGCCAACCCTTTCTAGCCTTCAAAGTTTCTTTTGAGAACTCAGCTGACAATCTTATGGGAACTCCCTTGTATGTAAGCAACTACTTTTGTCTTGGTGCTTTTAAGATTCTCTGTCTTTACACTTTGTCATCTTAATTATGCTGTTTTGGTGTGAGACTCTTGGGGTTCATTTTGCTTGGGACTCGGCACTTCCTGGATTTGTATGCCTATTTCCTTCGCCAAGTTAGGGATTTTTTTGTCATTACTTTTTCAAATAGGTTTCCTATTTCTTGCTGTCTCTGTTCAGCAACCCCGTGATGAGAATGTTGGTACACTTGAAGTTGTCCCAGAAGCTCCTTACACTGTCCTCATATTTTTGGATTCCTTTTTTCTTCTTGCTGTTCCAATTGGGTGTTTTTTGCTTCCTTATATTCCAAATTGCTGGTTTGATTCTTGGCTTCATCCACTCTACTGTTGATTCTGTGTAAATCATTCCTCATTTCAGTTAGTGTATTCTTTATTTCTGACTGATCCTGTTTTTATGGATTTCATGCTCTTTTCCATACCGTTGAAGTCCTCTCTTACTTCATCTGCTCTTCTCCTAAGTTCCTTGAGGATCCTTATAGCCAGTGTTTTAAACTGTACCTAGTAGCTTGCTTGTCTCCATTTTGTTTAGTTTTGTTTTTGGAGTTTTGTTCTGTTCTTTCATTTGGGCCTTGCTTCCTTGTCTCTTCATTTTGACAGCCTCCCTGTGTTTGTTTTTATGTATTAGGTAGAGTGCTATGACTCCCTAGCTTGGAAGAGTAGCCAAATGCAGTAAGTGTCCTAAAGGGTCCAGTGGCATAAACTCTGCTGTTATCCAAGCTGGGTATGTGAGGTATGCCCACGTGTGGGCTGTGTACACCCTCTTCTTATAGTTGAGCCTTGATTGCTGCTGGCAGGTCAGTGGGAGGGACTTAACCCAGGCTGATCAGCTTCAAGGACCGGCTGTAACCACTGACCACCAACTTCAAACCACTGTGGAGGTACAGCTGTGCAGGGACCCACTCCACAGAGCAGGACTTTTTGGTCCCTGCTGAGTTCTCCCCTTCAGTGTGTTACTTGTGGATGTGGTTGGGTGGTGGTACTCTGACATGGTCTGTAGCTGTCCACTGGGTATGAGGCTCTAGGGCTTCCCAGGAGGTGCAGGCCAATGTCAGTCACTGCCTCTGTTCTTTGCACGGCCACCTGGCTGCTACTTTTGCTGGGCTTGAGGTACCTCAACGAGGCCAAGTTGTGAACCAAGGCTGGCTGCTGCAGCAATAGGTATAGGGCTTACTGAGACCAGATGCTTGTTTGAGAGAATTTAGAAAAACCTGAAGCATGAGCCAAGACAAGCCATTTCTGTGGAAAAGACCCTGGAAACAGCTTGGGTAGGCCCAAAAGTTGGGTGGGGCAGAGCCTCAGGGAATCACAGGGTGGGACAAACAGAGTGAGCTAGGTTAATGGAATCTCAGATGTGGTGCCCACCTGCCAACTCCATGCAGGGCAGTTCAGGAAAGGAACACTGGCCTCTGCCAGCATTTCTTTCTGGGAGAAAGCTGCCCCCCAGCTCTTCTCCTGGTGCCACAATTCAGTTCCTCCCTCTATTTCTCTAGTGCCGTTCAATCTGCTGTCCCTTCACTAGAGCTCAGAGGGAGTGAGACTAAGTCTGTGCACAGGCCCTTCAAGGGGAACTGCCTAGGAATCCAGCAGTTTCTGCCTTCCACAGCCTCAACCCCCACTGGTTTTTATATCCAGAAGTTATGGCGACTTACCTACCTGGCTTGGAATCTGGGCTGGGAGGCCTGTTGAGGGGCTGGGACCCCTGACTCCTGAGTTTTCCCTGCCACACGTGGGTCTGGGACAAGCCTGTTCACGTCTCCAACCTTCCTCCCAGTCTCGATGTGGTTTCTTCTTTAATTCCATAGGACTTCCATTCTGCTTTATTTCTGACAGTTCTGAATGATGGTGGTTATATAGTTTAGTTGCAATTTTGATGTGGTTTTGTGAGGAGGTGAGCCTTGTTTACCCTCATTAGTTTTCTCTCACATTCCAAATTTTTAAAAGTTAGTTTTTATTACATCTTGGGGATAATCAGTTACTTGTGATTGTCATTTTTTAGTTAAATATAATTTTTCTAGTTTTTAAAAAAAATTTTTTAAAAATTTTTTCTTTTTTTTTGTTTTGTTATTACTAGGCTTACATTCAGTAACTTTCACCGGCAATGAGTTTTATTCAGCATATGAATATAGTTTTGGTATGAGCCTACATAGATTAGATGTATAGCAATCAGTTATACATCATTACAGATTTAAAGCTCAGTAGTATGATTCCTGGAGTTACTACCTGCCTTTAGGAAATCAGAGAATTGGCCAGAGTTGTTCTAGAAAAACAATGTATAATCTCCTGTTCACAAACCTTCCATCATCAGGGAGGAGAGAGAATAAAGACAGTTTAAGTAGGACTTTCTTCTGCTGTCTTTTTCCACTTGCCTCTTTTTGCTCTAGGGCTATGGTCAAGGGCTAATAGAATTCAGTTGTTTCAAGTCACTTCATCTTGAAATTCCTTGGTCTGAAAGGTACAGCTCTCTTCAGTTCATTGGGGCCTGCTGGTGCCATAGTGGGGAGAAGCTGCTTTTGCATGTATAATTTAAGCCAACCCACTGAGCATCTGCTGCTAAATCCATAGGAGGAGCAGCCAAGCTCTGGAGCTTGTCCCAGCAGCAGCTTTCCACTTCCTTCCCAGAGTTTGGCATGATTCAGTCGGTGAGGAGCTGTCATTGTATTTTGATTCAGTCCCTTCAGGAAAGGTGGTAGGCATGGAATCTCCAAAATGCTACAGAAATGAAACCATTTCTGCCTGAGCTGATCAGAGCTTCATCGTACTGGGTAGGTGAGGGGAGGTGTTGAAAGGATGTTAGGTGGGCCACGGGAGGCCACAGGGACTGTTGCCGGGAAGCGAAGAACAGCCTTCATGGGAGTCAGGAAGTGGGGGCACGGCTGGGGAGGACATTTCGGACTGGGACCCAGTTTTACTGGGATGCTCCGTGGTGTAGAGGTTGAGTGAAATGGGGAAGGACTGCCAGTGATGGGTGGTAAGAAGATGAATGTACAGGGTGGGGCAAACGTAGGTTTACAGTGTTCGTTTGGAAAACAGTACAATAATTGGTGATAATACAAGAATAAACTTTCACATACTCAAAACTGTAAACCTACTTTTGACCCACCCTGTATTTTCAGCGGTAAACTACTGAAGGTTTTGGTATAAGATGAATAA